GCCAAGAAGGGTTTATTGTCTGAAGCTGATGGGACCTATCCAAGATCATACAGCCTAACATATCCAAGTCGGCTTGAGAGCTGGTTCCCACTCATTCTTGAGGCTGCTCAACAACTGTTCCATATAGTCAGATGTGCCCATCCAAGTGGAAACTGCCTCACTCCAGCCTCACTCAGACTGAGCCAGCTGACCTGAGAGTTGAGGATGGGGTGATTGGGGTGGGGTGATGAGGTTTGAGTGCTGAGATCCCTGAGGTGCCTGAAGTAGAGAAAATCAGGCCTCGGCAACAGCAGCCCTATCATGCTGACCCATTTCCTCCTGCTAACCTTGTCCCTTCCCTTTCAGTTTTCCTTCCCTACCAATATAGTCCTGAAAAACCTGTGGCTATTTCGTCCCATTGTAAGCAGGTAACATATTACTCTTCCTCCTCTAAATCTCCCACCTCAATTACCTGCTTCCCAGCCCCATTTCTTGGAGTCATCCCTCTGCCAAAGATACATCATGTTATTAATATATAAGCTGATGTCTCTTGTCCTTAAAGGTCTACAAGATTTAGAAAAGAATGAAATTCTAAGTCTTTCTTTTCTCCATTGCACAGTTCTTCCTGATGTCTAACCATGGCCTTTTTGCTTTAGGTTACTGGAGAAGAATCACATAACCAATGCACTGATCAGAACCACTGCAGCCCCCACTATGTTCAATGCAGGAGTCAAGGTAACATCATCTGCTTCCTCTAGCCACACCTGCACCTCCATTCCTTGAACCTATCTATGGGCTTTCCTTTCCTATTGTGGCTACAGTATGAATAATAGGAAGGGCCAGTTGTCCCGTACCACTGTTCTCTGTTGTCAGTTGAGTAAGCCTTGAGAGCCCCTCCAGTGAAGGTCTACAGCCCATTGAGAGTGTTGGTTACATCTCTATGCATGTGTGGAGGGCAGTTTGGGGGAGCTGGATTTCCTAACCCATGCCCTGAATGCAACTCCTCTTGTTTTATGTTTTCCTAGCACTTAGATCATTTCTACTAAAACATTCAAACCTTTCTACCATCAAAGTTCCGTATCTATTTTTATTTATTCATTTGTTTTTGGTAGTGCTAGAGACCAAGCCTTCTACCTGTTGAGTACTCTACCACTGAGTAAGATCATCAGTCAAGTAGAATCTTTTCGTAAATGTCTTTGTTTTTAAAGATTTATCCACTGAATTTTTTAGCCACTCATTTGGTGGATGATTAACATATGTTTCCCTGTTGTACAAGAGATACTCTCTTGCTACTTATAAAATCTATGATACTTTTTCCCAAAATCTGCCTCAGTACATATAATTTCTATATGAGTCCTTTTTTTGGAAGTTAGAATCAATATTTTGATGTGGTTTGATTGCATAAAGAAAGCATTAAGTTTTCAGTAAGTTGACCCACTTGCAGTTGCACTGGCTACCAAGGGGTGTCTCTTGTTAAAGGACCAAGCCTAGCCAATGAAGACATTGGGCTTTGAAGAGAATTAGACCCACTCATAATCATTAGAGGCCACCATTTTCCTGAAGTACAGTATAATCTGGAAAAAACTAGACTAATCTGAAACCCAAGTTTGATTTGGGTTTGGTGTTTTATTTTGTTTTGTATGCAGTGTTTTACTGTGTAGCCCTTACTGGCCTACAATTTAGTATGGAGAACATGTTGGCCTAAAGCCCACAGCTATATACCCACCTCTGCTTCCTGAGTATGCTACCACACCTGGTCCCCAAGTTTAATATAAGTGAATAATGCTTCCAAATTTATTGGCAAAACAAGCCTGACCCAGCCCAGATTATCTTCACCAGCTGCTGTTCAGAATAGTCATATGTGTCTGCTTGATCACAAATATATTAGTCCTGTGCCCTTGCATTTGACCTGTTGTTTTTCTCTACATGCTGGTTGCAAGGTACTTCATTTCATTCTTCTAGAACTATGCAAGTAACGTCGCCCTGACAGCTGGAAAAGCAGAGGTTCAGTGAAGTAGCAGATGGTCAAAAATCACACTGCCAATTTGTAATATGCCCAGGATATTCCTGTACCTGGTGCTTTTTGGCATCTCCTGTACCTGGTGCTTTTTGGCATCTTACCAGTTCAAAGAAAGATAAAGGAAATATCCCTCCATAGCCTATCTTCTCCAACTATTCATAAGTTCAGACAAAAAATATATATATATATATATATTTTATATATATAAATATATATTATATATATAAATATATATTTATATATATAATATATATATATATGCAGATTTTGTAACCAGATACGCAAAACAACCACCACTGTTGTCCTTTGAGGGATTAAACCCTTGAGACCCTGGGTGTTCCACCACACTTAAGCACTAATATAACAGAATTGGCCACGGTGTCTTGGTAACATGCACACAGATGTCTCCCAATGGCACAGAACAGAGTTGCTTGTCTGGGCAATTTCAGGGAGTATAGTCCTGCTCTGAAATGCTCTATGACTTCTCCAGGACCAAGAAGTACAAAGATCTCACCAAAAGCAGAGAGCCTAAAAGTGAATATAACCACTTTTAGGTTGAGGGCCAAGAGAAGACAAGGGCAGATTCCAGATTAAGCCCTGGCTTCTTAAGCCAGAGCAGCTGCTTCTGCTCCTTCTGGTGGTACTTTGTGTTTCCTGGGCAAGGGCCAGCTCTGGAAGATGTGTTCAGGCCAGGTTTGTGCTTCTCTTTCTAGGTGAATGTCATCCCCCCATTGGCTCAGGCTACAATCAACTTCCGAATTCACCCTTCGCAGACAATGCATGAGGTATGTACTTACATTCCAAAGAGCAGGTCCAGCATCAAGAAGTAAGACCACCAATATCATGTTTTGTTTTTGTTTTGTTCTGTTTGTTTTTTTGTTTGTTTCAAATGTCCCTGTGTACCAACTACATAGGACAGGAAACATCTGGCTTGAGAAAACTTGGAGTCTAAGTCTAAGAAACAAATACAAATGGATGATAATGATTTAGTAAAATCTCTATAGTGGACTTGCTGTGGGCTTGGCACCATCCTTAGGCAGACAGATGTGTGCACTCACTCATTAGCACTCACACCACTCAGTAAGGCAGAAACCAAGCCATCCTCACTCTGCTAAGGAAAACTAGGGTGGTGAGCAACTGAGCAGTTCAACAGCAAGCCAATGAGTACATATCTAGCAACCCAGCTCCAGGGGTCTTTCCACAACTCTTTGCTGTTGCTGTAATAATCAGGGGTGAACAGAGTCCACAGGACCACTGCAAAGCCACCTTCAAGGTCACAACAGTCTTTTTCTTTAATAGAAATGTGATCTGGGTGTTAAAGGACCCTTAAGATGTTGCTAAGAATAAGATGTTAAGGCAAAAGAGTAGGATAAGTAAAAAAGTAAGTGGATTTTGAGACCAGCCTGGGCTAGAAACCTTGCCTCAAAAACAGTAACAGCACATATGAGCAAACTAAATGAACTCAGCAGTTTGTAGTGTAGATAGATAGATAGATAGATAGATAGATAGATAGATAGATAGATAGATAGATATAGAGAGATAGATAAGGTAGACCAGGCTGTGATGATTCAGAGTTTTACCTGCCTCTGCTCAGGAGACAGAGGCAGGCAAAACTGAATTCTAGGCCAACCTAGAATATATAGCAAGTTCCAAGCCAGATGTCTTAGTCAGTATTCCATTGCTGTGAAGAGACACCATGACCACAGCAACTCTTATAAAACAAAGCATTTCATTGGTTCTTGCTTACAGTTTCAGAGGCTTAGTCCATTTTCATCATGTCAGGGAACATGGCGGCATACAGACAGACATAATGCTGGAAAAGTAGCTGAGAGTTCTACATTTGGGTCCACAGGCACGAGAAAGGGAGAGATCCTGGGCCTGCCTTGGGCTTTTGAAACCTCAAAGCCCATCCTGTGTAACACACTTTCTCCAACAAGGCCACATCTTCTAATGCTTCTAAGTAGAGCACAATCCCTGATGACCAAACATTCTGATATATGAGCCTAGGGGGGATGTTCTTATTCAAACCACCACACAAGACAAAGCTATGTAGTAAGACCTTATCTCAAAATAATATGAAAAGCACAGGCTGGAGAGATGGCTCAAAGGTTAAGAGCATTGACTATTCTTACAAAAGTCCTGATTTCAATTCCCAGCAAGCATATGGTGGCTCATAACCATAAAGATGGTTAAGGTGCCCTCTGCCAGCATGCAGGCAGGCATGCGTGCAGAATACTGTATATATAATAAATAAATAAATCTTAAAAAATCATATGAAAGGTAAGGCAGAGAACAGTAGAGAAAGACACCCAACATTGGCGTCTGATCTGTATGTTATACATGTAACACACACACACACAAAATAATTACAACAAAAGAAAACACCAAGAAGCCAGACAGCAGTGGCACATGCCTTTAATCCCAGCACTTGGGAACCAGAGGTAGGCAGATCTGTTTGAATTCAAGGCCGGTCTGGTCTACAGAGTGAGTTCCAGGACAGCCAAAACTACACACACACACACACACACACACACACACACACACACACACACACACAAAAACAAAAAAACAAACAAAAAAAAAAACTTGTCTCAAACAACAACAAAACAACCACCAAGAGGTTCACCCAACAGCTGGCAGATGGATAATACATTCTAGAATACAGTAGGGACTCTGGTCTATATTCACAATGGTCAGACATACCCAGATTTCTACATGTTGGTTTTCAAGAGTTCTTCCCATGTGTCCTTGTACAAGTGGGAGGTGCATACATCATAGACTCAGGAGTGGGTTATCAGCCTGCCCAGCCTTGGGGAAGGGGACTGAGCTCAATGTGAATCCTGGATTCAGTTGCTTTTCATCAGGTGCCAGCCTTGTCCTCTCCCTGGAGGCTCATAGGACCAGGAAATCACTCAATTTCCTCAGCTGAGCTTTCCACTGTTTTTTTTTTCCAGCCCATTCCAACTCCATTCTTTTCTAAAAGCTGTTTTCCACCTGTGAGGGCTTTCATCTCCCTGATCCTGGCACTGTCCCCACCTAACCACAGAAGCCTTCCCTCCTGGTCTATCTGATGATGCCTCTGGAATTCCCTGGACTCATCCTGGCCACCTGCCCCACTGACAGATGGAAAGTCTCCATCCTCTAGAAAGCTCAGAAGACCTGTTTGTCCTGGCCACTCCTCTCTCTTGCCCAGGGGCCACGTGCTCAGAGCTGCATGCTGGATCCAGTGGGAACACAAGTGGGTGCCACAGTTCTCTTCCATCTGCACCTACTCTTGCCCACAGTCTAGAGGGAGGCCGCTAAGGTCACACACATGCTAGGTGAGGGCCCTTAGCTAAGGCCTTGCTAAGTTTCCCAAGCTGGCTTTAAACTTTTCATCCCTCTGCCTTAACCTCCAAAGAAGCTAGAATTACAGACCTGTAGCTTCGGACCCAGCTAGACCTTCTTCTAAGGACTTGGAATAATAGTGAGCAAGAGATTCCCATTCTAATGGTACCTGTGGTCCTGTGAGAGGGGACAGCAGCAAGCAAGTAATCAAATAAATGAACAAATAGTAAGGAGTATAAAGTAACTGGCTGCTGTGTCACACACACAGTGATTATGGAGTAGCAGTGGAGGACATAAGTGGAGTTAAATGCAGTGGCAGTGATGTATTAGCTTGGGCATATTGACATGTTTTGTTTTTTGTTGTTATTGTTTGTTTTTGTTTTAAAGAGAGTCTCACCATGTAGTCCCCAGTGGCCTGGAACTCACTGTAGATCAGGCTGGCCTTGAAAGCACAGATCCTTCAGCCTCTGCTGGAATTAGAGCTATTCCACACCCAGCCAGGACAGGTCTTTATCCCTGCCCTCAAGAGGTTGATACAAGATAGTTAGAGGCCACTCGGGGCCATAGAATTGTCTGTTTATAATAAAGAGACACAATCTCTCCAACAATAATTAGAGGCACAGTAATGGAACTAGAAGGAGGGACTCCCAATGGGGAGAGAGCCCTCCACAGTTGCTGTAGGCCATGCTGACCTTTTAGTTCTCTGTCTACACATTCCCACATTCTGTGGTGCTCACTTTTATGTGTAGAGATATTTTTCTTTTACACAAGAGTTAACGTTTGTTGAAGGTAAGAACACTGGCTATTTAAATTTTGGTCAGATCTTTACGGTTGTAAGTTCAGCTTCAATCCAGCTATATAAGCTGCTACTGGAAAACCCATGACAGGCTGTCACTCAATATATACTGTCATGGTTGTTTGTTTGTTTGTTTGTTTGTTTGTTTGTTTAGCAACCCGATTACGAATATCTCCCTTGTGATGAACTTGAGGCATGTTTCCCTGTAACACCTAACCCTATTCCCCTCTTTCATACTGCTTACACTGCACTGAGTAGAATGTAGTACTAGACACATCACAGACAAGAAGAAAAATCAGCTCCTGGTAACAAGTGAACAAGCAAAGGCATGGAGAATCTCAGAGCACACACCACGGTGAGTCGTTATCCAAAGGACATTTTTACCATGCCTCATTTTTCTGTTTTTGTTTTTGTTTTTTTCAACCCATCCTTCTCCACCCTAGGTAATAGCTCTTGCTTCTTCTCTGTCAGTCCATATCCTCTCTTCAAACCCAAAATCCCTAGCAACAGACTGTGCACCATAAGATAAATGCTTTTCTGATCCTCACTTCAGATTGTTGTAGCAATACATCTGATGGATACTCAGCCCAACATTCCTAACTGGCTACAACAGGAAGACAGCACCTCACTAGATTGATTCTTGTTGGGTTTTGTTGGTTCTTGTCTTTTATGATCCAACATTTATTACTTTTTATTTGTTCAGTACTGTAGATAAGGGAACAAAGCTGGCACAGCCTCTGCCTTTGAATCAGGCTCTTACTACAGGGAACCAGTGTTCATATCTTCTTCAATTTCTAGAAGACTGAAAACTCTGGAGTGACCTGAAGCAAGAAATGTAGGCACAGCCCTATCTACCTCAAAAGAGATGGCTTAGGAGCCTTTTCCTGGGAAGAGGGATGTGTGAAGATCACACACACACACACACACACACACACACACACACATATATATACATTTAACATATTAGGCCTTGAACCTAGGGCCTTGTGCATGCTATGCAAGCATTCTGCCATTGAGCCATATCCACAGTGAATTCAGTATTAACTGAGTGAGAGTATTGGGAATACTAGTGCTGTGGTAAAACTGAGTTCTGAATGAAAACAAGTTCTTATAACCCTCACCCACTCCCTGAAGGGCATTTGCTTTGATTCTTATGGTGATTCTGAGCTAGAAGTGGGAGCCTTCACTGATCTCTCCAAATGCAACTTCTAGGGATCATTGGCCTAAAATGAGTACTCCAAATAATGTCCTCATTGGGGTGATCTCCAGCTTTTAGACATAGCCCTTTCAAGGACAGCAGCAGCTTCAATCTAACCACTGATGGATCAAATGGTTGACATTGAGCTTTTCCTTGTTTGGCTGACTGGATTGGGGGACCACTGTAAGCTCCTGGTCCATTCCCTCATGTGACCTGAGCCTCAGGGGTCTGACCTGCATCTTTTCTGGGACCAGAGTTTCACTGGATTCCCCCTAAGTCACCTCAGGCTCAATTTTCTGGAAGTTTTCTTGTGGTCCTTCTCAAGAAAAAGAGGCAAAAGGGAAAACTTCAGCTCTAGCATTGTACCCCTGATTTTGTGTGTATGCCGAGCTCATCTTTCTGACTCAGTGTATTTGATTACAAATAGGCCTCAGCTCAAACAAGGAAAAGTAAGTTATGTGGTGTGGCCCTATGGTGACCTCTCTCAGACACTCAGGTTGGAGCATGATTATCCCTTGAGATGGCTGAGATTCCCATCCTCCAGTCTCTTATACTCTACCTAAACCCATAGCTCACAACCCAAAGGACAAAACAATTTTCAGATTATCCAGTTTTCCATCTGACTCCTAGCTTTATGACAGTCCTCCCAACACTTAGCTGAATTCTGCTATGCTTTCTAGGAAGTGCCAGCTCTTACATCATCTATAGCCAGGGTCCCACTGCAAAAATAAACAGCCTTTTCTCTGAACTCCAGAGTTCTACCTTGCTGAAACAAAGGGTCTGAATTTGGCGCTTAGCTTGGCAGATCAATGAGAACTATAACCCTCTTTGCTTCTATACTACAGGTCCTAGAACTTGTCAAGAAGACCGTGGCTGATGACCGAATCCAGATGCGTGTGTTGAGATTCACTGATCCCGTGCCCATCAGCCCCTCTGATGACCAGGCCTTGGGCTACCAGCTGCTTCAACAGACCATAAAATCTGTCTTCCCAGAAGTCAATATCGTTGTCCCTGGTAATGACTTCATCAGCTGTGGCTGGTGGGTGGTGGTATCTGGGACCACTTCCTATCTGACACCCCTTTCTTTCCCTAATCCCAAACCAGCCATTCATCCTGGAAACAGCTGACTGCTTCTGTCCCTGGAACTGTGTTTTCCCCTTGGGCTGGAAGTAAGAAAGCAAACAGGAAAGGAACAAAAACAATAAATTAGGTCAGTTGAGTGTGGGTCCTCGCTTAACCTAGGCCAGCAGTGACATGTAGAGGGGGGATCGGCTTAGAATCTACCTTTGCTGGAGGAGTTATGTCACCACCATCCTAGAATAACAAACAGCTCAGCAGCAAGAAAAAGCCTCTGACCCGTGACATTCATTTTGACCCTGTTCTCTTCAATCCCTTTGCATTCTCCCCATCTTCCATCCAAATTTGGCAAATCTAGCAAATCCTAGGGAACTTCATAAAATTTAGACCACCCGGACCTACTCACGTATTCCAGTAAGAATCTGCCTTTCTGAAAGATACTCCCAGAGGATTTTTGTCACAGTGATGACTGAGCAATATCTAAATCTCTGGTCCCAATGTACAGGCATGTGCTGATACGAAAGCTTGTGTCCAGTCCCTTCTATGTAGGTTTACTTGTGGCTTTCTATGAACATCTCGGAACCCTGGCTCTCACAGTCCACATCCTTCTCTCTTGGCCTCAAAGGCTCTTTCCACTCCTTCCATGCCACTGGCCATAATCCCATTGGTAGGATAAGGCTGCAATAGGAGTGGAGAAAATTAACAGGAAGAAATCTACAAAGCACAGAATCAGACCTAGGTACCCACTTGAAATCAGAAGAGGAAAACAGAACAAAACATAAAGTGCCATCTTGAATCATCAACACCACATTTGAATCAATTCTGGGAATACCTTTTCCCAAAGGTCATGCCTATCCAGGGCAAATCTCAGCCCAGCTGGGTGACTTATCTGCCTTCGGGAAAGTGGGAGACCAGGAGGAATTTCCTAGAACTTTCCCAAGCTTTGCCTCCAGGACAAAGCCATCCCTCAGAAGAGGAGACCAGAAGAACATGCTACCCTATGAGGAGGAATTATGTTTTATCTTAGTAAATTGCCCCACAGATGTATCCATTCTTCTGTCCTGAGTGATATGGAGTAAAGGCCAAGTGATCTCTCTAGAGTCTTGATTTCTCAAATGGCAAATGGCTTTGACTGCGGGGATAAGATGAAAGTGCTGGCCTCCCTGGCCATCATAAGACAAGAACAGCTTGGCTTTGGACCACTCCAAGCTATCTCACCAGTGTTTCCAGGGGATTCCACGTTCCTGGTTAAAGCTAAAGTTTTTGCAAAAATTTGAAAAGGAGCACCTTAGACAATAAGAAATATCCTAGGTGCTGGCTGGTGGTGATGAATCCCTTTCATCCCAGCACTCAGGAGGCAGAAGCAGGAGGATCTCTGAGTTCAAGGCCAGCCTAGTCTATAGAGCAAGTCCAGGACAGTCAGAGATACCTGACAGACAGAGAAACCCTGTCTCAAAAAAAAACAAAACAAAAACAAAAAGTCCTAGGCAGATGCTCTTAAGAAGTTACAGACATCCCTCTACAGTGGCCAAGCTCCTAAGTGGCCCGGCCACTCACCCAGTGTCCCCTACTTCACTGGTGGGTCTGCTCACATAAAGCCCATTTTCTCATAATCTTCCCTTTCTAGGCATTTGTATTGCGAATGCAGACTGCCGACACTATGCCAACATCACCAACGGCATCTACCTGTTCAACCCCGTGTTCCTGCAACCTGAGGGCTTCAGTAGGTAAGTGGAACAGGATTAAGCAGCAAAGCACAGAGGAGGTATATCTGATCTGTCCCTTCCCATTTTGGTGACTTACAGAATAAAGGAAAGGCAGATTTTGACAAATTAGATTGTCATCATTGGCCCAGGAATTGTGGGGGTAACCCCATGCACACCCCTCTTTTAAAAGAATAGCAGGTGACTGGTGAGAACTTGTTGAAAATAAGATCCTTGGGTAAAGCTGTATGTAGTGACCTGTAATCCTAGCACTTAAGAGACTGAGACAAGGGGATGGCCATTAAAATTTTTTTAACATTCTTTTTTTTAGTTTTATTTTATTTTATTTTATTTTATTAATTACACTTTATTCACTTTGTATCCCCCCATAAACCCCTCCCTCCTCCCCTCCCGGTCCCACCCTCCCTCCCCCTTCTTCACGCATACCCCTCCCCAAGTCCACTGATAGGGAGGTCCTCCTCTCCTTCCTTCTGATCTTAGTCTATCAGATCACATCAGGAGTGGCTGTATTGTCTTCTTCTGTGGCCTGGTAAGGCTGCTCCCCCATCAGGGGGAGGTGATCAAAGAGCAGACCAATCAGATTATGCCAGAGGCAGTCCCAGACATCAGAAGAAGAAGACAACAGGAAACAACCTAGGAACCTGCCACAGAGGGCCTCTAAAAGGCTCTGCCCTGCAGACTATCAAAGCAGATGCTGAGACTTATGGCCAACTATTGGGCAGAGTGCATGGAATCTTATGTAAGAAGTAGGAAATAGTAAGAACTCCACAAGGAGAGCAACAGAACCAGAAAATTTGAACACAGGGATCTTCCCAGAGACTCATACTCCAACCAAGTACCAGGCATGGAGATAACCTAGAACCCCTGCACAGATGTAGCCCATGGCAGTTCAGTGTCCAAGTGGGTTCCATAGTAATGGAATTTTTTTTTCTTATTTTTTGAGTGTTTTGCTTTCATGTATATCTGTATACTGTTTGTATGCATTGTCCAGAAGAGGGCACCACAGAGCAGGTGGTTGCAAGCCACTAGGCTTCAAATCCAGGTCCTCTGAAACAGTGCTCTGAACTGTTGAGCCATCTCTCCAGCCCCATGGATTGTCAAGTTTAATTCCAGCTTGAGCTATGTAGCAAAATCATGTCTCGGAAGGGAGGAAGAGAGGGAGGGAGGGAGGGAGGGAGGGAGGGAGGGAGGGAGGGAGGGAAGGAAGGAAGGAAGGAAGGAAGGAAGGAAGGAAGGAAGGAAGGAAGGAAGGAAGGAAGGAAGGATTACCCATAAGTAGTCTTTCTCACTTTGGGAAAATGCTCACCTTGATAAGCAAATATATATGAGTTCAAAGTTGGACATCCAAAATGTGAATATCAATTTTAACTGTCATATCTGACTGTTTTATGGTTTCTTAAGCAAATTTGGACCTTTGAAATTTGGGGAGATAAGTTTTATTTAGCCTTCTGCAGTCTATCACATCAGACCTGACTTCATCACAGGTCACTTGAAGCAGAATGGATGTGTTTGAATGTGATCTTAAGGACAGCATCCATTAAGCAAGGCATGGTGGCTTATATTTTAATCCCAGTGCAAGGGAGGCAGAGGCCAAGTTCAAAGCCAATCTGGTCTACATAGGAAGCTCTTAAACAACCAGTACTACTTAGAGAGGGCCTGTCTCAAACAAACAAACTAACAAAAAGAATAGCATTCATGGTTTGGGTGTTTGTTTGTTAAAATTGAGGGTAAGTGACCCCTCTGTTTCCTATCATCTTTGCACTTTGTACAAGGGTGAGCATGAGATCTGATAGCAGGGTTCCTAGGTAAAGTACAGACTGGAGAGGTACCTTGAACTGTTGTTGCTGTCCCTTAAACCTAATGGGCACAACCTTCGAGAAAACTCTAGCCAGAAAGAGAAGAAGGAGGAGGAGGAGGAGGAAAAGGAGAAGAATTAGGAAGATAATCCTCCCAGAGGAGAAACAGACCTCAGAAGAGTGGATAAGTCCCCAGAAGTTTAGTCATCAGTGTCCCCACTGTCCTTGTACATGAGCACAGGTCCTTGAGAAACAACTGCTATGTCACACATCAGCTGACAAATGACTCTTCTCACCTTTCCCCCATGGAAGGCCAAAAATGAGTCTATCAGGGGATGGAAGAGGCAGAAAGGGTGTTCTGTGACAACTCAAATGCTATAACCTTTGACCCTTATCTCCTCCCCCTGAATGTTTCTTCCCTCAGTATCCATGGAATCAATGAGAAAATCTCAGTTCAGAGCTACCAGAACCAGGTGAAGTTCATCTTTGAGTTGATGCAAAATGCTGACACCAACACAGAGCCAGTTCCTCATCTGCACGAACTATGAAGCAAGGATCCGGCTGAGCGAGGAGTGCCCAGCACTGCGCCAGGACTACCCTAAAGGGAGAGAACGCTGATACTGATGGAAGGCTTGATAGAAAACATCTTGTCATGCAGAGCTCACCTGCCTCCTCCACTCACCAGGGAATGAGCTCCATGGAGAAGAGGAAGATGAGCAGAAACTGGCCTGTTAGCCTCTGGATGTCTGTGTTCTTCCCCTGAGTGGCATTCACTGCCTTCTGGTCTGTCCTGCTTGTTGGTCTCTCTCTTGTTGGTTATTTAACTATTCCACTTTCCCAGCCTGACTTAGCAAATGTAGATTTTGGAAAAATCTCAAGTAGGTTTTATCTAGATAGAATGTTAATTTAGGGTGCTTGAGCTGGACTGTCTTCTAGAATTTCCTTTCTCCTGTCATTTTCTCTCAGACTTTGGAGCTGCCTCTTGGCCTCTCCTTTTCTGCCTCTGCTTCCTTTTTCCATTCTCTGGTTCATTCCACATCTGGAATAAGACTCAGTCAAACTGAGACACTCTCACAATCACAGTCAGTCAAATAAAGGGGTTGGGGACTGTAGCATCAGCTGCTCTCTGACAAGTGAGCTTGAGGTAGAAACTTTGAGAGAACACTATAACTACTGGTACCAGAGGCTGGGGCCTGAAAAAGTAAGCTGCTGGCCTTGGGCTCCTGGGACTTTATTCAACCCTGTTCCTGCCACCTGCACTTGCTGCTCCACCCCAGGAGGCACTAATCCATTGAAGCATTTTGCTGGCACAGCCTATGGGGCTGAGCTCCCAAGAAAGAAACTTTCACTCAAGATCCAGCTTCCCACTGGAGCCCAGAACCAGCAGAGCCCTGGCCCTGGCGTCATGTCCTGTTTCGGGGAAGTAAAGGACAATAAAGGGGGTGGCTAAAGGTTTTCTTCCCTGGTCAAGACAGGCAAGGGGAGGTAGCCTCCATTAGAGGATAGCAGAACTCCTGTCTTCTCTCTGGACTCTAATCCTAGGCATATTTGAATCTTCCCAGTAGCTGCCAGGTGGGGGCGGGGGAGAGGGCATTGGAAAGCAGCATTTCTTGACTCAAGGCCAAGATCTGTGCTTTGTGGGTCACAAGGGAGTCAAGGTCACAAGAGGAGATACAGAAATGGGACTTGAAAGACTCCATCTTTTCCCTTCTCCAGCCAGGACAGTCTATGTGTACCAGGGCTTTGATAGTACTAGGTTTCCTTGACAACTCCTCAGTAACCCCAATTCTCCCTCACTCCCGAATCCTTACGTTCCTCCTGTGGATGTGAACTGTTCCTTGCAGCTTGGACTTAATTGTCACTGTTAGAAACAGTGTGGGAATTATTCAAGCTTTTTTGCTATTCCTGCTAAGATTCACATTCCTTCCCTCACTCTCCCTTTCTGGCCAATTCAGTACTTATTCAGTCTTTGTTGGAGGGCAAGCTTAAGAAAAAAAAAAAAAAAAAAAAAAAAAAAAATTCTTCATTTTTGTGCAGAGCCCTACAAAGTAGTTTTATACACCTTATCTCAACCCTGTAAACATGCTACTGTTAGTCCTTCCTACAGATGGGCTCCATTCTGAGTGGGCTACACATCTAGCTGTAAACAGTTATGGAAACCCACATTACCTGGCTCCCAAACTCACCATTATTCTCTGATCCGACTCACCACTGATTTCTTATTTAATCCTCATATCAACTTCTGTGGTATGTGTGTACCCCACATTTGTATGTTGTAAACTTAATCATATAAGAAAAGTATTCAGAGGTGGGAAACAGAGCCTTTATAGGGCTATTAGGGTTAGACAAGGCTATCAGGGCTGAGCCCCATCTTTGACTTACTGATAGCTTTTTAAGATGAGAGTTTGAGAAGACAGATACATTTAAATTGATTTGGACATTGTACCATGAATACATATGTCAAAATATCACACAGTACCCCATTATAAGAGAAAAAGAGAGCAGAAGACAGACAAGTTCATACATGCATTCCTACATCTTGCCATGTGAAGTCCTGTGCCATCTCTACAGCAAAAAGACCCTTACCAAGGAGCAAACCAGTGTTCCCCACATGATTTTAAAGCTCCAAAGCTGTAAGCCAAAATAAACCTCCTTTCTTTGTAACTCAACCCAGTTTGTAGTATTGTGTTCTTGGAAAAAGAAAACAGTAACACAACTCGAAAATGCTATTGCTCCATTTTATAAATGAAGTCCCAGGCTTAAAAATCCCAAGGTTGCCCAAGGCCATTCAGGTATTAAGGACAGGGTCTCTATGAATTCAAAGTCTATGCTAATAGTTCTCCCAAAAGCCCAAAGTGACAGGATTCTCAAGGAGCAGTTGTAAAACTAAAAGGAGGTCCTGAGTCCCCAAGCCCTGCCTCCCCCCCCCAAGAAACTGTGGGGTGTAGCTTACTGCTTGTGACTCAGGGAAATACACAGAATAAAGATTTCCCCTCCATCTAGAATTAGTTCCCCACTCTAGCTCTGTTCCTCTGGCTGACCTCTCTTTATTCACACCTCTCCCTGTGTCTGCCAGCACTTCCAACTCCCATTCTCCAGGTTCAGCTCTATGGAGGACAATCACATCTCTAATGACTACAGTGACTGGAGGGATGTACAGCAACTTATCCCCTTCCATCCCACTTCCTTTTCTAGCTTCAGAAAGGATAAGCTTTCTGAAACCCCTAATGGGAAAAAAGGCCCTTGAGAGGGAAAAGCCCTGACTCCTTCCCTGAGAGAACACAAATGCCAGTCCAATGGCCCTGAAGGCTCCTAGGAGGTATGGCTCACAGCTTTAGATAGCATAGCTACAGTTAGACTTTTCATAGGTGAACAATAAATCTGAGGCATTCCTCCAACCCAAACCCTACCCACCTACCAAACCTTAAATTCACCTTGAAAGAGACCCAGGAGATGAATGTCTACACACGTATCTCCTGACCCTGATGACAGAGTTCAAGCTTTCTTTTATCTCCCTTTATGCCTACCTAGGTGGGAAGGGGACAAAATATGTGTAAGCAAAAACAATGGAGAAGGTGAGTAAAATTGGGCTGTAATCCTGGATTGTGACTATTCTTTTTATTTCATTTTTGTTTGTTTGTTTGTTTGTTTGTTTGTTTTGATACATGGTCTCACAGTGTAGCCCTGGTTGTCCTGGAACTCACTATGTAAGCCAGGATGGCCTCAAATTCATAGAGATCCCCTTGCCTTTGCCTTCTGACTGCTGGGATTAAAGGTGTGCACCAACACCCCTGGCTTAGTATTCTACTCTTCCAATAAGAGTTGAATATTTCATCAAATGTTTTTGAAAACATAAATATACATACATATATATCAAAGATTTATTTATTTACTAGGAATATAGTGTTTTGCCTACATGTATGCCTGCAGACCAAAAGAAGGCACCAGACCCCATTATAGATGATGATGTGGTTGCTGGGAATTGAACTCACGGTCTCTAGAAAAACAGCCAGTATGCTTAACCTCTCCAGTCCCCAAAACATAAATATTTTAATTGAAATAAAACAACTTAAAATTCTTATGTTTTGATGTCTAACACAGTCAATTATGAAAATGTTCCTTGCATATGTTATTTTAGATCGACAAATATAAAATTTTCAGAATTGTATAAATTGTTTAAAAAATGTTCCAGCTGGGAAATGGTGGTGCACACCTTTAGTCCCAGCACTTGGGAGGCAGAGGCAGGCAGAGCTCTATGAGTTTAAGGCCAGCCTGGCCTGAAGAGTGAATTCTATGACAGCGAAGATGATATAGATAAACCCTGTCTCGAAGAAGGAGGAGGAGGAGGAGGAGGAGGAGGAGGAGGAGGAGGAGGAGAAGAAGAAGAAGAAGAGAAAAAGAAAAAAAAGAAATGTTCCACAGCCATTATGCAGTATTGTAAATACTATACTAACCCATGAGTACACCAAAGCAGGAATTGGAACTCAAAGACCATCAAGAAAATAGATTTTCAATACTACTGATAAATAACATGTCACACCAGGATCATTGTCTGAGGGGAGGCTATAACAAGCTTTCCTTTGTCTTGGCTAAGCATTTCAACAACTCAGTTCTTCCCTGTACTCAGAAGCCAAGCCTGTCTCTAGTCCACAACAACACAGCCCACAAGCCTTTGGGACAAGTCAGACATGGTTAACTTTTTCTGAAGACAGAAGGCATACTTGCTTTGGCAAGCACACACACCAAACTTGGAAGCAAGCAAAGGTTAGTGTTCCCCCATCCACCCTGCAAGGATGGCATAGGAATTTGTAAGATGTTCCATAGTTTTTAAATTATTATCTTTTATTTTTATGTGTATAGGTGTTTCATGTGTATGTGTGCTTTGTATACCACGTGTGTGTAGTACATGCATAGGCCAGAAAAGGGCACCAGATCCCCTGGGACTAGAATTATAGAAGGTTGTGAACCACATTATAGGTGCCGGGAATCAAACTCTAGTCTTCTGGAAGAGCAGCCAGTGCTCTTAATCACAGAGTCATCTCTCCATCTTCAAAGTAATTACAAGATAGAACAAAATATATACTATTTTAATTTATTAATTTAAATGAAGACATAGGGCAAGATAGAGAAGTGTTTCCCTGGAGTCTGATCTCTCAGGAATATATACTCAGAGTTACTAGTTGTTCCATCAACACTGAATATTAAATGTCAAGGGACAGAGTGTTTGGCATATCATGGCTATAATATATGGCTCATTCTAAAGCAAGAAGCCCAGGGTGAGTGATTCTGTTGCCCAAGCATATGAGACGAAGTCTTATTCTATATGTGTTGCAGGGCCTCATTTGGACATGGGCCTCCATAGTGAAGAGCTCACTATTCCAGCTCTGAGACTTCAGAGTTCAATGAGAACTGTACAAAGAACTGAGAAAGTGCACTAAGATTATGAAGCAGATGGGCATGTGAGACCTTCAGAAAACCAAACCCTGTCAGATTGGGCTTTGTAAGTCAGGGGAGGGAAAGAGAAGTTCAGTAAAGACCCTTTTTTGGGTACTGTCTTTTGTTCCTTCTTTCTAACCCTTGTGCAGAATTTACTGTCTTCTAGGCACTGTGTGATATATAAAGGTAATGGTGATGGTATAATTAGCCTATAAAGTAAGCTGTTGCAGTGTAACAAGTGGAAAATAGAGGCAGTGAATTGGGAAAAGATATATAAATGCAAAAGTTGTTAGTCATTAGGGAAAAGCAAATTAAAACTACAGTGAGAGACCACTTTATATCCACCAGGTTGGCTGTAATCAAAATAAGTGGAAAATAACAAATGCTGGCATGTAGTGAAGTTGGAAGCCTTGTGCATTCACTAGTGGGAACAGTTGGTGTTTCCTCTAAAGTTAAACAGAGAATTACCATATTACCCTGCAATTCCACTTGAAAGTATGTGGTCAAGAGAAATGAAAACAACAGGTGTTTAAATACCTTTTTGTCAACCCAAAAAATGACATCAGAGAAATTTTTTAATATAAAATTTTAATGTATACAATTTAAAATATTTACACATCTATGCTTGAAGACTTTGTAATGTACACTGGGAAACAAAATGAATGTAATAAAACAAGATGTTCATGGGCCAGCAAGATCGCTTAGTGGGTAAAAAGCACTTGCTAAGCTTAACCAGCAGAGGTGGACCTATGTAAGAGAATTAAATCCCCAGTCATCCTCTGGCCTTCATATACACAGGATGGCACATGTGCATCCACCTTCCTACATACCCACTAAATAAACTTTTTAAAATTTATGGAGCTGGAGGTATAGCTCGTCACAAAGTGCTTGTCTGACATACATGGAACCCTGGGTTCCATCCCCAGCAACTGAAAAAGAAGGAGGAGGAGGAAGAAGGAGAGAGGGAGGGTGGAAGGGAGGGAAGGAGGGAGGGAGGGAGGGAGGGAGGGAGGGAGGGAGGGAGGGAAAGAAGGAAGGCAAAAATACATATGAGAAATCTTGTGCTGTTTAAATGATCATTTCATCTTGTATCTATACCCTCCACATTCGCCCAGCCACACACTAAATGCTGTCCTTTGCAAATGCTATATTCTCTTGCTTGCCTACCTGCCATTTCACTCTTCCTTTTAATCAGAATGCTTTTCTCCCCTGCTTTCAATTCTTCTAGGCAAGCACTTAGGAGTGAAAATGCTTGGTGATGTGGAAATTCCATGCTTACCTTTGAGAAAACACCACATGTCCACTACTGCAGTCAGGACCATTTTACTTTCCCACCAGCACTGTACACTGTTCAAAACCCATTTTCTGGCTTTTGTTCCTCCACCACCATCTTATGTAGCAGAAGATACAACCTGTTATCTTGTGGTTTTGATTTGCATTTCCCTAATAACTAACCTCAGTTACTTTTTAATCTGCCTATTTTGTGTTCAATCCACTGACTCCATTTTCTACTCCTTATACTGCAGCAAACACCTTCATAGCATAATTATTAAGAGCAAATGAATTCGTATATGAATCCACACTGTCAGATTTGGTAAGAGCTCTACTGTGCCATTAAAGACTTTCTGGGCTTGGCTGAGCCTTCCCAAGGCAAGGGTCTCTTGCTGAAGGGTGTTTCTATGAAAGGTCCCCAGAGAACCTAGTCAACAATGAGAGCCTCCAGTTAGGGCACTGCTATTCAGCCTAGTCAGATCATGAGTGTTATATGGGATACCTTATTAGAATAGGTTTTTCTGGCCCATCTTCCCAAAGTTTTGTAATCAAAATTTCTAAAAGGTCGGAAATCTTTATTTTAAAACAAGTGCCCACGGGTGATTGCTATGACTAGGCCAGTCATAGCAACTAAACCAACTAAACCAACTAAAGATGGTTAAGCAAAGTAGAATAAATACAAAGGGATAGTTTGCAACTAGATAATATGGCTTGCAGGCTATGTTTTCCCAGGCTAGCTCTTACAAGATGAAGTTTCCAGTCTCTGGCTTGTGACCCACTGCAGGAACGTAGCCCCATTAGCTCCCAATCAGCACCTTATTCTATCAGCAGTATACAAAGTTTAGAATTCAATGTGAAGCTTGGAAAATTCAGTGTGGCCTTTCTGATGTCTCATGCTTGGTTTTGGCTCTTTGTTTTTTGATGAAATCAGAACAGTCTTACCCTGCGAGGGAATTTTCCA